AAGGGAAAAGTGTGGTCCTTTTAAATGATAGGGAAGAGTTTCAAAACTATTGGTAACATTTCTCTTGTCAAGAAATGCCCATCTTTTGACCCAGTGATTCTATTTTTAGAAATGTATTCTGACTGGCTCAGTGACTCACACCTGTAATCCCAGCACTTTGGGAGGCCGAGGCAGGCGATTCACCTGAGGTTGGGAGTTCAAGACCAGCCTGACCAACATGGAGAAACCTCATCTCTACTAAAAATACAAAATTAGTCGGGCGTGGTGGCACATGCCTGTAATCCGAGCTACTCAGGAGGCAGAGGCAGGAGAATCGCTTGAACCTAGAAGGCAGAGGTTGCTGCTGTGAGCTGAGATCACACCATTGTACTCCAGCCTGGGCAAGAAAAGCAAAACTTTGTCTCAAAAAAAAAAAAAAAAAAAGAAAGACAGAAAAAGAAAGAAATGTATTCTGAGTAATTGGAAAAGTGTTGCAATGTATTGAACTGCCTGGGACTCCATAGATATATGGTCTTATCTACCACTCAGAACTTTACCAGACAGGTACCCTCAGCCTTTTACAGATCAGGACACATGTTCAGAGGTTAGAAAAATGCCACAAGTGCTCACAGATGCTACGGCAGTGAGCAGTACCAAAGCACGCCAAAGGCTCGGCTCACCATACGTTGTCTGTCTCTCTCCATTTTTCCCACTATAAATTTTATTCATTCGTATTCCACTGTGCTGCATCTTGATCACGTGTTACCTGATTGAGGGGCAGGATTGAGCTGAGTGAATAATCTGGTTCATGGATACTCCTGGTTTTGTTGGCCTAGTGGTTGTTCCCTCCTCACCCCACCCCCTTTCTGTAGCAGAGGTGATTAGAGACTAGGGATATTGGAGTCTGAGAAGGTAAAGGCTATCCTTTAGAGGAGGAGAGGTAGCTAATAACCAGGACTAGAAAATGTCTAGACCAGGCAGGAGCAGTGGCTCATATCTGTAATCCCAGCACTTTGGGACACCAAAGTTGGGAGTTCGAGACCAGCCTGGCCAACATGGTGAAACCCCATCTCTACTAAAAATACAAAAATTAGCCAGGAGTGGTGGCGCACACCTGTAATCCTAGCACTCAGAAGGCTGAGGCAAGAGAATCGCTTGAACCTGAGGTGGAGGGTGCGGTGAGCTGAGATCATGCCACTGCACTCCAGCCTGAGTGAGACTGTCTCAAAAAAAGAAAGTCTAGATGAGGGACTGGAAAACTAGCTTAGGGGCACGCAGGTAGGAAGAGAGGACAGGGAAGATCTAGAAACCTCCTAAAGCTACACACAATTGTACATTCATGGGGCGTCTCGCCATATTTTTTTTTTTTTTTTGAGACGGAGTTTCGCTCTTGTTAACCAGGCTGGAGTGCAATGGTGCGATCTCGGCTCACCGCAACCTCCGACTCCTGGGTTCAGGCAATTCTCCTGCCTTAGCCTCCCGAGTAGCTGGGATTACAGGCGTGCGCCACCATGCCCAGCTAATTTTTTGTATTTTTAGTAGAGACAGGGTTTCACCTTGTTGACCAGGATGGTCTATATCTCTTGACCTCGTGATCCACCCAACTCGGCCTCCCAAAGTGCTGGGATTACAGGCGTGAGCCACAAAAGGTCCAAAGAGTTTTGAGATTCTCAGAGGATCAGTGGCCCCCAGAAGCTTTAAGATCCATTTAAGGTAAGAGTGATTCTAGAGGAGGGATCGTGGTACACTGAGTGGCAAGACTGCAGAAGGGAGGGCTGGCCCAGCTCAGACACGGACCCAAGACTCCATGGCAGGCGCCACCCCCCACTCCACACCCCCACCCCTGGACAGCATCTCCCCACCCTCCTGAAGAGTTTTTGGAACAAAAAGCAGTTCCCCATCCCACTGAGCTGAACCCCATCTTAATTCTTTGGGGATGGTCAGAAGAATTTTGTTTTGAGAAAGTTTAGTGGCATTTTTCTAGAGCTGGCTCTTAAAGAATCTTCTTAAAGGGCAAAAAGTTTGGAACGAATGTTAAAGTCTTCTGGAGGGAAGTCTGGGCTGGGAGGAGGGAAAGCCTGATCAACAAGAGGGGGCAGTCAGGAGAAGTGCCTGGGACCTTGAAACCCCCAGCATTGCCCTGGGGGAGGGCAGAAGAGCAGGCAGAAAGCAGCTGCGGACCGGAGACCTGCCCCAGGCCCAGGCGCCACATGTGAAAGTATTTCCTTCTTGGCCCTGACCCTCTTAACAAGCACAAAGCTTTGCTCTTCCAAAGGGTGGGACTAGCCCACTTAACAACGAGGAAACTTTTTTCCTGCTCATAGGGTGACCTGGAAATCTCCAAAAGCAGATCTTTAGGCTCCTGTTTTTAACTGAGTTTTCTGAAAAAGGGAGCTGAGGTGCCCTCTCCCTGTGGGGCCGTGAGCTCAGGTGGATTACCTCTGAGTCTTCCTCCAGGGCACTTTCTCCTCCTTATTCAAAATTCCCCAAACTGCGGTCTAAAGTTTCCTTCCTCTAAGAGTGTTCCATTTAAGACACAGGAGAAGGGTGTGGAGAGGAGGGTTCCCCCGACACTACACTTTTCAGTAGGGTAATTCAGCCCTTGGCTACCACCGCCCCACAAAAGGGGAAGGATATCTATAAGATCTGTTCTTTCCAAAAGATGCAACTGTCTTATCATCTGTCTTCCTCCTCAGTCATATAACCTATTTTGTCAATTTCTCAGGCCTTCTTCCTTTATGTTGGCAGCAGACTTTGAGGAGGGGGTTGCTCAGTGCAAAGGTCCAGGGACAAATGTACCCAAAGCACACAGAGTCACGATCTTGGGGGGCTTAGAGGTGGGAGAGGTTCTCCCCAATCTTCAACAGAGACCAGCCCCTCTTCCCACTGGGCTCAATACCAGGCACTGGAAAATCCCACCTGATTCTCCGGCTTTCACCATTATTACAAGGAGAGGCACTCATAATTTGTAATTTTACTTTTTCCTGAAGCCTTTGCCGGGTTCCTTTAGAATCTTGCAACAAATGGAGCCAAGGGGCGGTGACACCTCCTCCCGCCTGCTTCTTCAATAGTTGAGGAAACCTCACATTTAGATCTCACACTCGTTATCATTTGATAAAAAGCTAGTTTTAACTAGCCACTGACACAGATGATTGGGGGGGGAAATTATATATTTTTGGGAGGGGGCACTGCTGAAATCCACAGGCTTCATACAGTTCCAAACAAAGCCCCACATGACTTCAATTACCACCAAACATTTCCAGTTCCCCTCCCCCAACATAAACTAACACACGCAAACACTTGGAGGTAGGGGTTCTAACTTACTTTCTCTCTTGTCCTGAAGACAGTCAACAAAGGGTGGTAAGGCGCCATTTACCCCATCACCATTTAGCTAAGAAAGCAAGGTCTAGGACTGGGAGCCCTCTTCTCTGCCCCACCCACAACCAAGTAGGTAAGGGGGAGAGGGGAGGAGGAGGTGTGGTTTGGTTAAACTAATAAAATGTTACAACCCTGTTAAATACAATTAAAGGGATAGATCTCTCGAAGATAATTAAATGCATTTTATTATTATGATTATTAGCTTTTAATTTACACTGCTAAGAAACGGGAGATAGTGAAAACTGAGTTATGTGGCATACTTGTATTCAACCAATCCTTTGGAATTAAAATTCTAAAATATTCCAAATAGTTGAGGGAAATAATGTGTATTGGAAACAGGAGTTCTCACACCAGCCAGGATACTTTTCGACATCACTCCTCAGGCAGCTAACTTAAGAAAAGCCTTGACTTTTATTTGTGGGGGATAGGGGGAAGATAAGAAACATCTGCTATAAACATTCTATCAATCTTATGATATAGAATGTCATGTAAACATTCAACCCACCCCCACAGCCACAAAGAGCCTGTCCAGAGCCTTCCTCCAAGCAACACCACTTTTTTTTTTCATTTTTTTCTGGACAAATTTTAAAGAAACCAGTCTTTCTGTCAAAGGAAAACTAAAAAGCCCATCAGCCCATCAGTCCCCTCCCTCCAACCCACCCGTCTTTATTGCTTTTTGAAAAAAAATAAGCCCTAAACAACCACAAAAACCCACACAAACCAATCCAGAAACTACTAACCTGAACAGTTTGGGGGTTCTGAGATCTCCTGGCATCTCTCCCCTTTTTTTCCTGCGGTCCTTTCACCCCCCCAGCCAAAAATTTCCTGACAAATGCTCAATGCGAATGCTTCCCCTGGACATGCAGGGAGGCAGGATCAATACTCCTGGTGGTGTGTTTTGGTGCCGGGCTGTTTCAAAACACACTTCACAAAGCATTTTCGGGCCACTGGAAGCATTTGGTGCAGCGAACTGAAACGAAGAGAAGCCAGAGAGGGGAAAGATCTTCCAGCCTGCAGGGGAGTGGGCCAGGGGGCCGAGGCCATTCCCACCCGATCTCCACCTTCTCCTCACCAGCACCCCCCCACTTCGATTTTTTTTCCCACATCTTCATCTCAGTTGAGACTTTTCCAAAGAGTGAATGAAGCAAACAGGACAAATGAGGAGGGAAAGAAAATGGGGAAGGAAACAAAACGAATCCAAGTCCTGTTCAAAATATCCAACAGCTTCCACAGGCCCAGCGTCAGTGACGAGCCTCACAAATTTGGCTTTTATATTAGTTGAATGGAACGAACTCCCAACGACTCAAAAGCCAACAAAAACAGCGCAGGCTGGGTGCCTCTTCCAGCAGGCCCAGCCCTGCCATATCACAAAAAACTCCAAAGTAGGGGCGGGTTTTGAAGGGCTCTCAAGAAAGTGAACCCTTCCCCCAACTACGCCCCCTTACACACACACACACACACACACACACACCCCTCATTCTTCAGCCCTGGCGCCCATACCGCTGTTTTTTTTTTTTTCTTTTTTCTTTTAAATAGAAAATATATATAATTAAATTTACAAAGCCTATTTACAGTTTTAATTACAAACCTTGTGGGGGTGTTGGGCAGAGAGTTCTCTTTTAAAAATCAACCTAAAAGTGAAATGGTTTCGATCGTTCTTTATTTAAAAAAATAAAATACGGAGTCCGTAGGGGGCCTCACCCCAGGCGGAGGTTAGCGCCGCGCGGGACCGGCCTGGGAGCTCCCCTCACACGGTGGTCTCGCCGTGCCGACTGTTGGTGAGGCGAGTGTAGAACTTCCTCCACGAGTGCAGCGTCTTGCCCGACCAAATCCAGAAGCCCGATGTGATGCCCACGATGAGCGTCATGAGGTATTTGATCATGTAGACCGTGAAGTCGGGCGACATGCGCGGCGTGTAGTGCGCCGGGCACGGGATGGCCAGGCTCTTGCAGTGTTGGCTCACCCACGAGCGCTCCCAGTGCTCGCGGAAGGCCTGCTCGTAGAAGTAGCAGGCGATGACGATGGTGGCGGGCACCGTGTAGAGCACCGAGAAGACGCCGATGCGCACCATGAGCCGCTCCAGCTTCTCGGTCTTGGTGCCGTCGTGCTTCATGATGGTGCGGATGCGGAAGAGCGACACGAAGCCGGCCAGGAGGAACGACGTGCCGATGAACAGGTACACGAAGAGCGGCGCCAGCACGAAGCCCCGCAGCGGGTCCAGGCTATTGAGACCCACGAAGCACACGCCGCTCAGCAGGTCGCCGTCGATCTGGCCCATGGCCAAGATGGTTATAGTCTTGACCGCTGGCACGGCCCAGGCGGCCAGGTGGAAGTACTGAGAGTTGGCCTCGATGGCCTCGTGGCCCCACTTCATGCCGGCTGCCAGGAACCAGGTGAGAGACAGGATGACCCACCAGATGGAGCTGGCCATGCTGAAGAAGTAAAGCATCATGAAGAGGATGGTGCAGCCCTCCTTTTTGGTGCCCTGCACCACCGTGCGGTAACCGTCCTCGGAGAAGCGCTCGTTGCACACCACGCGCTCCTGGAGCACGAAGCCCGAGATGTAGGCCACCGACACCATGGTGTAGCAGCCCGACAGAAAAATGATTGGCCGCTCTGGGTAGCGGAAGCGCTGCATGTCTACCAGGTACGTGGTGACAGTGAAGAAGGTGGAGGCGCAGCACAGCACCGACCAGGTGAGGATCCAGAGGCGCGCGAAACGCGTCTCCTCCTGCGAGAAGAACATGGAACCATCTGGCCGCGCGGGTTCGCAGGGCGCGGCACAGTCACGCTCGCCCAGAAACTTGTAGCTGAGATAGGATGGCACCTTGAGGACGCGCGGGCAGTGGAACGGGTGCTCCAGCGTGGCGTAGCGCGGGGGAGCGCCGCCGCCGCCTGGGCCGCCCGGGGTGCCCCCGGCGCCGGGCTGCAGACCTGGCGGTGGCGCGGTAGTGAGCAGCGCTGGCGCTCCGTCCTCGGAGTGGTTCTGGCCCACGCAGATCTGCTCCGCGCCGTGGCGCGGGAAGTGTTCGCAGCGCAGGCGATCGGGCCACTGAAAACCGAACTTGTTCATGAGCGCTTCGCAGCCCTGGCGCGCGCGCTCGCAGATAGAGCGGCACGGCGGGATGGCCTGTTCCAGCACGGTGCACACGGGTGCGTACATGGAGCACAGGAAGAAGCGCAGTTCGGGGGAGCACTGCACCTTCACCAGTGGATAGAACTGGTGCACCTCCAGGCCTGCGTCCTCCTGGTTCGTGTGGCCCAGAAGGTTGGGCATGATGGTCTGGTTGTAGGCGATGTCGGTGCACAGCGGGATGGAGATGGGCTGGCAGAAGCCGTGGTCCGGGATGGAGATGCCCTTCTCCCCGTGGAACTGGGCCGGCCCGGCGGCGGGCAGAAGAAGCAGCGACAGCAGCAGGCGGGGCAGGGCGCTGCGGGGCCGCATGCTGGCCACCGCCCCCCACCCGGCTCCTTGGATCCCCCCGCCCCCGCCCCCAACCCGAAGACTGCGCTCCTTCCCCGTCGCCTCCTCGCTGCGGCCGCGGCCTCCCGCGCCTCTTTGCAAACTTTGCGCACGGCCGCAGAGTTGGGGTGGCCGGGCGGGGGAGGGGGCGGCGCGCCTGCCCGCTGGCTCGCCGCGGTCCGACTGAGACGCCCGAGACACCGCGCGCCGCTGCCCTCTCTCCTCTTCCTACTCCTCTCGCCTCTCAGCTCCCCCCTCCCCTCCCTTCAGCACCCAGCGACTTCTTTGTGCCTCCTCCAGCCCTCACCTCAGCCTCTCCGGTCCCAATTAGTCGGTTTCAAGGGGGCCCCCGCTGGCGGCCCCGCCCTCTCTTCAGCCCCCCAAAAAAGGGATCCTTGAAACCGCCCCGTCGAGCTCTAAGCACCATCCCAAAATGTGCTGTCGGCCAATCAGATTTAAACCCGAGGACCAGGCCCGAGGGCTGGATTGGTCGACCACAACATAATGAGATCAGAAACCAGATGCCAACAAAACTACCCCCCCCCCGCCACCCCGCACCCTTTTGCTTTTTAAAGAGACAAGCTATTATTACACTAAGGACTGTTTGCCCAGCCCGGGATTCTCCGGAGTCGACCCGGCGAGACCGGGGAACACACGTTCCTCAGAGCCGCGGTGGACCCAGGGTACTCAACCCTGGCTTACTCCTCTTCCCCGGGGCCGAGGTGCTCTGCCAGGTGGGGACTTTTTAAATCCTTGCCCCCGACCCCGATCCTCGAACTCCAGCTATTTCTAGTCCAATTTTTCAAATCTAGTGAAAAATCTCAAATCTAAAAATTAAAACAGAGAGACTTAATAAAAAAACCTATTAATTTACAAAGACCTTTTCTGGTTTCTTTCTGGAGCCCAGGCGAAAGTTTCACTTCACTTTACACGTAGACCCCCTCCCTCGCCCTCCCCGACACACACCCTTAAATAACCCTCTGAAAAATGGGAACCTGTCTCTTTAAGAGGCTCTTAAAGGGACCTGGACTCCGAGGCGTAATTGCCCCGTAGCCAGCACAAAGGAGCCCATTATGGTTCTTTGTGTTCAGTGGCACCTCAAAGTGAGAAAACTCGGGAACTCGGAGGCCCGGAGCTGGAGGGTTGGGGCGGGGGGTTTGGAGGGAGCGAGGGGAAGGAGAATGGCCTGGAGCTGCGCTTCTTCCTCCCTCTTCTTCCCCGGCAAATCTTAATTGTGCAAACTAAAGTTTAGTTGCCCTAAGGAGGAGGTCTTAATCGAAAGTTAATGGTGGGGGGCGGGACGGGGGGTGACGGGCAATTTTGAGTGAAGAGACGACTCTCTTAGGCCTGACGAACGTTTGGGGGAACTTTCCTTCTGCCCCCGAACCTCTACCTCCGCCCCCTAAAAGCTTCCAGATCCCGTCTCCACTTGTCTAGCAGGGTGAGAGGGGAGTTTTACCCAAATCTTAAGTGGTTCCACAGCAGAGAGGGGCGGCGTGTGTGACGCGGGAGGAGACTGGGGGGTTATGGTGAATTATCCGCCCCCGCCATCTCTCACATGGTAAGGGGCGAGGGGTGGCCAGCAGGGTTCCTGCTACTTTCAGAAATTTTTTTCCTTCCAGGATTTTAAATTTGAGAAGCGAGTCGAGGAGGAGTTTGCATGTAAATCTCCTGGGCCTGGTGCTGGATGATGGATCAATTATTTTCTGTTGTCTCTCCCGAGGAACGTCGTCGCGGGGGGAGAGGGGGACGAGGGGGGGCACACTTAAAAAAAAGAAAGAAAATTGAGTTTAGAAAGCCCCTTTGCTTCACAGTGTGGGCCAAATCCTCACAGTCTGGCGAACTGTTTCTTGCTCCAATATAGAAAGGAATTGTTTTAAACAACAGCAGCAGAAGAAAATAACAAAAAGAAGAAAGGAGTGGGGAAAAGGAAAGAATGTTCTAAGTAGATGGATACAGGGATCCAGGTTTGACAGGATTTAAAAAAAAATTTTTTTTTTCCCGTATTGAATGAAATAAAGATGTTCCAGTTCCTTACAACTTGAAAATGTTCCTCATTACATCCTGGGAAAGTTGTCTTTTCCCTACACTAGAATGAATGTTTTTCTTCAAAATTGGGGTGTGTGGGGGGGCATATGCCTCTCTTTTGTGCATCCCATTTCCAGCCCACCCATCTCTATTTCACCAGCAAGCCCATTTTCCCACAGAGCAGGCTAAGGATGGGAACATTGTCCTCTCTGCTCCATCTGAGCCTGAGCTTTTGGTCCTCAGATCTCCTGTCTACTCCATGTCAAAGCATCTTGAGAGCCAGTACCAATCCAGGAAGCTAAGCAGTGGAAACACAAATGAATGACAGGCTCCCATACTCCACTCAGGAAGCTCGCAGTCTGTTAGGAAATAGAGAGCAAATCTCCAATGTAAACGAAGCATCTTCAATTTCCTTCCATGACAAACCCATTTTCCTGCCCTAGGGCCAGGCCTGAGTGACAGTTATCCCCCATCCAGCCACCCCAAGGTGGGACAGGGAGCTGGAGCTGGAAACAGGAAATAGAAGACATTCTTCCATTCACTCAGGCAACTTTTCATTCCTTCAACACACTTTTATTCTGATTTCAAACCATCACAATAGGTGCTATGGAGAATGTGGAAAAAGATGACAGAATCTGCCCTTCAAGAATTTATAGAAGGCCAGGGGCAGTGGCTCAAGCCCGTAATCCAACACTTTGGGAGGCCGAGGTGGGCAGATCACCTGAGGTCAAAAATTCAAGATCAGCTTGGCCAACATGTTGAAAACCCGTATCTACTAAAAATACAAAAATTAACTGGGCATGGTGGTGTATGCCTATAATCCCAGATACTCTGGAGGCTGAGGCAGGAGAATTGCTTGAACCTGGGAGGTGGAGGTTGAAGTGAGCTGAGACTTCACCAACTGCACTCCAGCCTGGGAGACAGAGTAAGACTCTGTCTCAAAAAAAAAAAAAAAAAAAAAAAAAAAAATTATAATAGCCCAGATAAAAAGCGAGTCCACGAAGATGTTACACTTGTCTAGCATTTGTACATGAAATAAGGAGGAATCACAGTATTTCATGTTTTCTCTTGCCTTTCACGTGAGGAACCTGAGTGTGAACAGGATCAGAATGCATCTTCAGATTACAACCCTACCTACAGCAATTCCAATTCTGCCAGCCTGACTCTTGAGTACAGGAGCCCTGGAACTAAAGGATGTCATTTGTAATTTGATAGATACAGCACTTAGTTCTGAGTTTTTAAAAATTATCTTGGGTAGCCAGGTGCAGTGGCTCATGCCTGTAACCCCAACACTTTGGGAGGCTGAGGTGGGCAAATCACCTGAGGTCGGGAGTTTGAGACCAGCCTGACCAACATGGAGAAACCTTGCCTTTCCTAAAAATACAAAATTAGCTGGGTGTGGTGGCACATGCCTGTAATCCCAGCTACTCGGGAGGCTGAGGCAGGAGAATCACTCGAACCGGAGAGGCGGAGGTTGCGGTGAGCCGAGATGGTGCCATTGCACTCCAGCCTGGGCAACAAGAGCGAAACTCTGTCTCAGAAAAAAAAATTAGATTGGGCAAGATGCAATGGCTCATGACTTTAATCCCAGCACTTTGGGAGGCCAAGGCAGGAGAATTGCTTACAGCCAGAAGTTTGAGACCAGGGCAACAAAGTGAGACCCCTGTCTCTATAAAAATTTTAAAACATTAGCTTTGCATGGTGATGCATGCCTGTAGTTCCAGCTACTCAGGAGGCTGAGGTGGTAGAATTGCTTGAGCCCAGGAGGTTGAGTCTACAGTGAGCTGTCATCGTGCCACTGAGCTTCAGCCTAGGCAACAGGGTGAGACCTCCAAATATATAAAAAAATTAGCTTGGTCATTCACGTGTACCAAATTTGTAACACTGTCACTAACTGTACAGCCTTGGAACAGTCACTTTGCTTCTTTGAACCTCAGTTTTCCCATCTGCAAAGTAGGAATAAACCAAAGGATTTTTAAAATGTGAGACTCCACATCCAAAATAACTTCAGAATGACAAAAATACATTTCATAATCATAAAGCACCTTTTAAAACAAGAAGTTACATTGAATTAGATATTTATTTGGCAGGCATCCTGGGAGATCTAGGGTAATTGCTACTGTTTTTTGAGTTTCTACTAAGCTCTGTTTATGTATATGCCTACAAAGTGGGTATTATATTTTGTTTACAGACGAAGAATCCACCTTACGTGAGATCTGGCAACTTTCTCAAAGTCACGTAATATGTGGCAGAGGTGAGACTGAAAGCAGGCCTGTTTGGCTCTTAAAGCTGAGTTCTGTCTCCTACATCATGTAGCCCCTAATGTCTGTAAGAATTGTGTGCTGTTATTCACATAACAAATTTATGGCCAGGCACAGTGGCTCATGCTTCTAATTCCACTTTGGGAGGCTGAGGCAGGAGGGTCACTTGAGGTCAGGAGTTTGAAACCAGCCTGGGCAACATAGCCAGACCTCATCTCTCTTTCTTTTTTTTTTGAGAGGGAGTCTCACTCTGTCACCCGGCCTGGAGTACAATGGCTCATTCTTGGCTCACTGCAACCTCCACCTCCTGGGTCCAAATGATTCTCCTGCCTCAGCCTGCTGAGTAGCTGGGATTATAGGCATGTGCCACCATGCCTGGCGAATTTTTGTATTTTTAGTAGAGACAGGGTTTCATCATATTGGCCAAGCTGGTCTTGAACTCCTGACTTCATGATCTGTCCACCTCAACCTCCCAAAGTGCTGGGATTACAGGCATGAGCCACCACACCTGGCCTCTCTCTTAAAAAAGAAATTACATTGAGTACCAGACCTAACCCCTTATTCCTATGGAGCTCATGTCCTAGTGGGAGACACTTACATTCACTGCAGTCAATGACAGGGATGTAAAATTGCCATGGGATTCGGTGCTGTGAAGGGAAGATCCATAGTTCTTTGAAAGCATCATGGGAGAGGGAATCTGACTGAGTCGGGAAGGTAAGAAAAGTTCTGTAATTGGAGAAAGGACAAAGCAGGACACGGTAAAGAGGCCAGCAGGGATCAGAGTTGCAGGGCCTCACAGATCATGTGTGAGGTGTTAGATGTAGAAACATGAACCCACAATCTAATAGGGAAACAGACATGTAAACAGACAAGGCAGGTACTGGCATTCCAGACAGAGGGAACATTGTGTGCAAGGGTGTGGTGGGGTGAAACAGATGGAGGGGGCAGG